AGGGGAGCTCTATGTGGAGTCTTTTGAGGAACCTCCATACCACTCCAAAGTGGTTGAACAAGTTTACACTCCCTCCAACAATGAAGTAAGGTTCCTTTCTGTCCACATCCCCTCCAGCATCTGTTGTTATAAGAGTTCTTGATTTTTGCCATTCTAACTGGGGTGAGGTGGTATCTCAATGTTGTTTTGATTTGCATTTCTCATCATTATCTTATGCATCTACCTGGAATCATTAACCGGCAATCTCTGAGCAGTCCTCTTATCAAAGTGTCTACTAAGCTTCACCATTGCATTTACTTTTTTCTTGAGCAATTTGGCTTTTGCTGACATTGAAATTGAGAGTATATGGCCATCTTAATAATTGAGAAATATTCAAGAGAGCAATCTGACACTTTTACTCTTCTGGAAGTCATCCTAACATTATGTTGATGAATATTTTCATACGCAGTTTTTAGGCATCAATTTTGTTCTTCTGGCAGAATAATATAGATCTCATGTTGTTTTGATCCTTGAACTTCAACTTTATGTGGTATTCCAATTCACAGTAATCCCACAGTACTTAACGTTATGTTATAGTGGTCAGTATAAAGTACTAGCACTAAGTTATATTGGATGGTTAAAGCTAGTGCTAGATTTTATACTTGAAGTTTACTACTATTTCTAAATCTTGAATATTGAAATATTTATGATTCTGATAATGTTTATCCATGAGGCAATTTGTTTGATTATGCTCTATTAACAAGATTAAAGGACTATACATGAAGACTTGAAGAGAAACAATACACTTGACCACCAGAGAATTGGTAGCATCAGAACAATGGGTTTATTGTGTGTATTGCATTGCCCAATATTTACTGCAGAACTTAATGATGTTTCATGATGCTTTTGAATTCATTGTTGCATTTCCAGCTTCATCAGGGATTTATCCCCAAGGGAAAATAAAAATAAAAAAATAGCTATGTAACCATAGCTTTGAGATTTTGTTGCTACTAAAAGGTGAGTGAGGTCTCACTTCAAGAGGTAAGATGTTGGGTTTTGATCATGAATATGACTCCATGCTGAAGACAGCTAGCAGTCTCTACAGCTAGCAGTTATCCCATGGCACAGTGTAGATGAGGGAAGATGCAATCAGGTAGGGAGCAATTTGGACCGACTTGCTCTGCTTACATCATGGTCATGTGAGTAACTAGTCATGATCCATTCCCAGGATCCCTTGTTTACTTAACCTTAAAACAGAAATTTACACTGTCTTTTCAGCACTACACACACTTGGAACTCTGCCAAATTGCTAGCTTGGACTTGATTACTTGTTACTTAAATTTTGATAATTAATTAGGAGAATAAAATATCTAAAGTTACACATTTTGCAGTAATACTTTGTTTATACATCTGATGTTTTGTAAAGTAGGATTTATGAAGAGCTTGGTCATACATTCATTAGATTTAGAGATCAGGATTATCCTAACCAGTAGCTCAGAGATCTTTCTTTTTTTTTTTGTTTGTTTTTGGGTCCGGTCGTGGGCCTGAACTCTGGGCCTGGGCTCTGTCCCTCAGCTCTTCAGCTCAAGGCTAGCGCTCTACCACTTGAGCCACAGCGCCACTTCTGGCTTTTTTCTTTTTGCTATGTGGTGCTGAGGAATCGAACCCAGGGCCTCAGGCGTGCAAGGCAAGCGCTCTACCACTGAGCCACCTTCCCAGCCCTCAGAGATCTTTCTTAAATGTTTTGTATGTTCTTTATTCAATATATATTACACTTAACACATCTTTACTTATGCTAGAAAGTGTGATTTAGAAATCATTGTTTTAGGAAAATATGATTTAGGAATTAACTTATCTTAATTTGAGATGATCATAGAGAGCTTTTTGCAATTGATTGCATTAGTAGTTCATTCATATTACTATAGCATT